TCTAGACACATTTGGAAAATTATTATGAAGTGCTCTGTTCCAGAAACCTTGCCTCATATTGTTCATTTTCATTTCTTTGCTATGAGGAATTGTGAGCCATGTGCCAAGTTCCTCCTTAATTGTAAAGTTCTGTGCATTTTGTTTATTTTGCTGGTCAAACTCCAAGACTGTTGTGCATGCAAATTTCATTCAGGGCATACAATTCTTTAGAGGTTTTGCACAAATAAAATAAAAACATTTCTCCTTCCCTGTGTTTGCTCCTCTCCAGTGTTACTTGAGAAGAGTTGGGATTTAGGTTCCTGCTTCAGAGTTGATTGACAAGAACAGTAACAAAACCAAGACCAGTCCTCCTGTAAAGTTATAAAGGACTATGAATTGCAGAGTTGTGGCTATCAGGGCTGTGTGGCTTCCCTGCTGCATGCTCAGCAGTTCCTTCTTCCTTCAATACAACACATTTTTCTCTTACCCAGCACAATCCACAGAGCTCAAAAAGAAAATAAATACTGTAGTCATTGAGAGCCTTCTGCTGTGGCCAAGCTGCAGGGTTTAATCTTTGAGGAAGGACTCATTAGGGAGGAAACGTGCTTTGAGGTTTCCCTAAAACAGCTCCTCAGGTCTGATTTTCCAGAGGTGGGATCTGTGCCAGGCTCAGCCACCCCAAGTCCAGGCGCTGCTCCCCAGTCCCAGCTGTGCTCAGCAAGCCCCTGGAGCTGGGATGTGCTCCCTGGAACCACACCCTGAGCCTTCCCCACATGCTCCGCACCTTGTGTCACCCCAGCCACACTGACAGGGAGCCCAAAATGCAGAATATTCCTCAGAGCAGAAATGGAAAGCTTGGGTTTTCATCAGGAGGAAAAGATGCAGGCGAGGGAAAGGCAGTGTCCTGTTTCAGGAGATGCTCTGGGTGCATACAGGTGTGCAGCTGGGTTTAGGCAATACTCACCTCTGCCTCTGCACAGGGAATGCAGAGGCTGTTCTCATGCTGTGCCTGCAGTTTGTTTTGTCTTACTGCCCAGTGCTGTGAAGTTTTTAGAACAGCTTAAATTTTAACTTCAGTGCTTCCAGTTGAAGTTGCTATGTTCTAAACGGAAAAAACCAAATTCAGGGGAGGGGAGAGTGTGATTTCTCCTGATTCTGGCAAGTGGAGAAATTATTCTACATTAAAACTTCCTTGCCTGAAAGTGTTAAATCATTTTAGTTTTCCTCTTATTCTGACATTATTTCTGCTGTTTGTAATCTGGAAGCTGCTTTGATTTTTCTTCATGTGGATGAGCTGTAAAAAACTTATTTCATCCTTTCCTTTCATGACCAGAGGATCTTTTCCCTCAGGTGGTTGAGGTTCTTAGGGCCCTCAGGTTGCTGTTGCTTTATAGTCATCAAAAACAACTCTTGTAATTTCTCTATAGCATTTGTTCTGGGGAGGTGTTACCTTTTTGTAGCCAGCAGACACAATGTCAGCTTGAATGGGGCTTGGAGAAACCTGACCTGGTGGAAGGTGTCCCATGGCAGGGGTTGGAATGGGATGATCATGAAGGTCCCTTCTGACCCCACACCATTCTGTGATCCCATGATTTGATCAGTATTCTTGTCAGGCTGAGTCTACCTTCAATTAGAATTTAAGAACAGCTTTGGAATGGGCTAAGTCTGCAGCTTCTGAGAAGCACCTGGCTCTTCCCAGAAACTGTGCTAGAGATTTAATCTCAGCTTTTAATTTTAGTTTCTAGGGCACTGCAGATATTTACTACTTGGAGTAAAACCCCAAATTAAGCCGGTCAGTTTCTGGGAGTAAATATTTGTAAATAGCTTCTTACTCCCTTGTGCCTACAGGAGTGCTGTTCATGGGAGATTTCTTCATCAGGATTTAAAACCGACGTCCTGAGTGCTTACAAAATAAATCAACATCTATCTTGGCCTTCACAAGAGAAGTAAAAATGGTCCCTTTTTATTTTTTTTTTACCACTGTTTAGTCTGCATTTAATCTGCAAAGGCATATGCAAGTTTAAATTGATTTAAGTGTTCTCATTTCCTGTCCTGAACATGTTGTGTAATAACCTTCTTTAGCTTTTTTTAATATTTGCTCTGTCTCACTCCAGCACTGGTGGGTGAAGTAATTACCACATGAGATCGGTTGGTAGCATGCCTTGAAATGTGCCAGGCTGGGGTGTGATTAGACCCTGCCAGTGCAGCTTATAGGTCAGAGGCAATAAGTGCAAATTGGTGGAGAAAGAGGCATCTTCACCAGCTGTTACCAAAGGGTGCTGCTATGGTAATTTTCCAAAAGACTTATTTTGGAACAAAAATATACTAGTGGGTGCTATTTGTTTTGTTACTCAGAAAACTTTTCCAGATCTTCAGTCTCAAGGTATGCTGGTTTTGGGTTCAGTTTCTAAATACTACAAAAGCAAGGGATGACATCTGTCAGAGGTTTGGTGATCTTCCCATGGTTTTTGGTCAGTTAGGTGTCGTCATCATCTAAACACAGTCAGGCTGGACTGGAACAGATCTCTTGGGTCACAGCTCCCTTGTTTGTGCCTTTCACAGGCGCTGTCATATTACCTTTTTTGTGAGTGCATTCAGCTGTGTCTTAGTACTGGTGGTTTTTGTCCTCATTTGGGAAACTTACCAAATGCTGCAATTCTGAAATGATCTTGTAATCTTCTTTGAATTTCCCTTCTTGCTTCTGTCCTGTAAAGACAGTGAGAAAACTGTGCTGCAGGGATTAAATCTAAAGGCCACAGCAGAACTGGACTCTGCAGGTTAGACAAAAAATGTTGCTGGTGTCTCCTGGAGGTATGTTATTCCATCTTAAAGCTCTGCATTCTCAGAAACAAGCTGCACAAACATGAGATTAGAAATTATGCTTGAATTAGCTAATAAATAATGTTTCCTGACGGCAGCAGCAGCACCACCACCATGTAATCATATGCATTATACAAAGTATCAGACTGTATTTAGTACTAAACAGTGCTTCTCCTTGGTCTCTTGTAAATCAGAGCTGTCTCGATGTTAAAAGACAAACAGGGATTCAGATTGCAGATTGAGATAATTTGCTCCACCTACTCAAAAGCCAGCTATTTCAGGAGAGAATTTTAGTGACTTAGGAGCCCATCTCATATTTCCAAAAGGCATTTCTTTACCAGTTTCCAGTGTTCATCCTATCACTTTGTCTTCTTTAGGTAACACATAAATCTATTAGAAAAGAGCGTCGTCTATAACCTCCAAGGCCCCTTAGTGACAAGTCCCATTGTCAAAGGCAGGCACTTTGCCAGGAAACAGTGACTCCCAGAGAGAGTGTGCAAGGTTAGAGGGAAAGTACACTATTGCCAGAGAAACTGTATTCCAAGTGGACTTGTGTGGAACAACAACAATATCCAGTGACTGGTTAAATTAGCCACAGATGTGTTTTCTAGAACGCTGTCCAAGAAGATATAGAGTACTTTTAGGCTTGGTTCAGGCATAATGGTCTTCTGAAGTCAAATCAGATCCAAGCAAAATTGCATGGGTACCGGGGAAGCTTTAAAGGAATTCTGTAATATGATTCAGACAAGTAGCTGAATCAGACTGCTGCGAGCTGAGCAAGGAGCACATCGGTGGGAGATGAGGTAAGAGCACCGGGCTGAGCGATCGCTGCGAAACGCGGGCTGGGGCGGATTGACAGGGCTGCTCATGCCGCCACCTGCCCCGAGCAGAACCTCCCGGGGCTCCTTCCAGCTCCCCCAGCTTCCCCAGCTCCCCCAGCTTCCCCAGCTCCCCCAGCTCCCCCAGCTTTCCCGGCTTCCCGACCGTGCAAGGGCTCCGCACTTGCCGTCTCCTTTGTGTCTCGCTGTCCTGCCGTCCCGGCAGCACTGCCGATGCCGCTGCTCAGAGGATAATCACTGCACTGAGGGCAGTGCACTTAGTAAATATTTAGAGAATTTTCACATGCTGAAATCAGAGTACAAGCAAAGGCTCTGGGACTTTTCTCCTACGGGAGAATTTTGTCTTGGCATCACAGCTGGAGCGGCGCAGGGATTTCGGTCTGAGATGGGTGTTGAAACGCTCAGCTTCCCTCCCACAGATGAGTTCTGACTCTCATTTTTGAAGTTCAGATAAGGCAGAGGAAAGAAGTCCTGTTGAATTACAGATCTGCTTTATGCTTTAAGGTTGTGGGGAAACATAAGCAGCTTAGTTACTGTCGTAGTTGGAACATGAAGCAAGAAAAGCTTTTGTTGTATTCTCTGACCTATTTCTTTACCCTGTTACTTATTTGAACTAAATTGGATATAATGTATTAATGCTGTCATCTAAAAGGTTCTGGCAGCATTCAGCTCAGCCTAGAGTCTCTTTGTAATAAGCATTAGTGGTAAAAGTCAAATTTACAAAATAGCAGTTGGCAAGTTTCAGAGGAGTTATAAATAAAAAATTTTCACAATAGAAATGGCATATCTTGTGTATGAAATTTTTTCTCAGTTACTCTTTTTCAGGGCTTTATTACGTGTTTTTAATGGTATTGGTGAAAATGTGAAAATGGATCTGTTTAGGTTTGCTTTGAATTTCCAGATATAGTTTCAAATAGGAGGCAAATGCTGTGAATTTATTCACAGAAATTATTTTCTTTTCCTTCTTATCTCTTACTAAAAATTCATTTCAATCAAGCAAATTATATTGCTTTGAATCTACTGCTTCCAGTTTCATATCCTTTGAGGTCTGCATTCTGCTTCAGGAGATTTTGCACTTGTATTCTTAGGAATGTTTGCAGGTCACATGGAAGGCCGCGTGTGTGTGCATGCATGCGTGTGTGTCTTTGGACAGCATACCAATAATTAGAATAATTCTGCAAAGTCATGGCTTTGCTTCAGGAGAACTCGCAAAATCTGAGACTTGACTCTGTTTTCAGGTATATTTGCTGATTTTGACCTATGCAAGCCCAACACCCTGACAGTGGCAGAATGTGTTTGTTCTAAAACGTGAGTATTTTGAAAATTCTCATACCTCTGGTGATATTTCTTCTCTCTTTTCAGGGTCTTTGTAAACAGAAGCTTAGCCATGGAAAAGATAAAGTGCTTTGGTTTTGATATGGACTATACACTTGCTGGTGAGTATCTTCTTAAGTTTTTTGAACACTGACATAGTTTGAGATATTGCTTCTTGCTGAGCAAAAACCGGCAAAAAGCTGATTGGGCTACTCCAGTTAATAGGTGCTTCTTCTATTAGTAAATGTATATTTTACTGTTCCTTGCATTTTCATTTTAGGTGTTCCCCTTAAGTTTGTTATCTGCACGCTGTATTTGGTCACAAGCCATGTTGCTGTGGTACAGTTTCAAGTGATTATAGGTGTTGAGAAAACCAAAGCTTAATGAGTCTGCTCCCTTAGATTCCACTGTATTTTGACAATGCCCCTTGTACATGCTTGGCTTTGAGTAACAAGGTGATTTCTTTCATCCTTGGTGCATGTAGCAGGCTACACCTTTGGCCAGCAGGTTCTCCTTGTCCTGGGAGAGTGATTTTTGAATAGGTTTTCCTCTTTCCCCTTCCTGGTTTAGCCACATCAGTGACTGATTTTGAGAAGAGGCATGGCAGGGGCAGTGCCTTGTGTCAGTTGAACAAGTTAATTCGTAAAGCTTTGCCCATTCTTTGTGACAGAAAAGCTTTGGGACGTTGCATAAGATCTTTTGGTTTCATAAAATTGTTTGCATGACTTCTCCATCTTTCAACAGGCAAGTCCCTGAGAGTTTTGATGAGACGAAATAAAGCTACTATTTTCTTCATGGTCAGACTTTCATGTTATGTATTTTAAGGAAGGAAGAGATAAAAAGTTCACTTCCATTTTCCTGGGTTATAGCATCACACAGGCTGTAACTGAGGATGTCATGTACCATCCTGCCTTATTTCTCATTGCTACTTCTAAGGTTATGGATAAAAAGTCCCTATCACCACTAATATTTCAGTTTAGAGTTGTTGTGTATATGAACTGAGAAAATGTGAGGTAGAGTGTCAGGGTCACCTAATAATAGGTTAATGCAGTATGTCAGCCATGCTCATCTGGTTACTGTGTACTGAGCAGGAATGAGAGATGAGTAATGGGGCTGGGACAGTGTGGGGGTCAGAGCTGGGGTCAGAGGCTAAGTGAAGGGCAGGAAGGTTTCTGTAGGCTATGGTTCAGCTGCAAGGAGCAGTTTTGGAGACTGGCAGGTAATTGCTGTTTATATTTAGATCAGTTCCTTGTGTTCTTTTATCTACAAGGAAGCAGTTACATATAAAAGGTTTGGTTGTTACCCATCTAATTTATACATCTGTTTAAAGTTCTTGACATTTTTTAAGTCATGAAGTGTATTGTTAATCTGTGCTGGATACGACTGCAGGCACGTGTTTTCTGTTTGTGTTTCCCACCAGTGGCAGTCTTGTGGCAGTGCTTTTAAGGGGTGCATGAAAAACAGTTGTTGATGAATAAACGCTTTAAAAAAAAAGAAAATAAAAGTTGTGGATTTCACTTCAGTAACTGCAAAACAACTTCTGTGCCTTTTGCAAAGGAAGTGGTGGCACTTCCCGAGGACCCAGGTGGTCCCAGTGGGGCTGGTGTGGAGCATGAAGTTTATTGCTAATTTCCATTGTGACAGAAGGACAGCTTCAGCACTGTCCTCACTTACCTGACTGTCCATTTTACTCAAATGTTCCTTGTTCCTGTAAACACATAGCAAATGTGTTGTTATCCACAAAATGATGCTTGATTTGATGAAAGGAAAAAATGTGAATGTTCCAAGCATCCTAAAGCAGTACCAGGGACATAAAAACCTGGGGCTTTGAGGCTGGAAGATCACAGTGCTCCAGCTGAGCAGGCAAAGTCAGTTCATTTGGTGGAGTTGAGAGACAGGGTGTGAGGCAGAAAAATAAATGGGATGTGGTCTGAGCAGAAAACTGGAAATCTGGCCCCCTCTGGGGTAAGCTGCTGTCCTGTGACTTCTTCCATGGTACAACAGAGATAATAGTTGCAGATCATTTCACTAGGAGTTGTGAGAATGTAATTAGGTTGGAAAGCCTTTTGCAGATGAAAAACATTATGACTGGTAAGTACTATTTCCGTTTTTTCCACTCAGACTGGAAATTAACCTTGGAAATTACCTGTTTGTTTTCTTATGTCTCAGAGTTATCCTTTCCTCTCCATGTGGGATTTTGTTATCTGACCATTATTAGTTACTTATAGCTTGAATACAAGAAAAAATACTTATCCACTGCAGGGGCTTTAAAGAGTGCAGTGTTAGAATATGATTACAATTATAATAAATTAATTGGAAGTTATAATGAAGAAGTGGAACAAGGGAAGTATTACAGTAATGTGCTATAGTTAGTGCACTCGTGAGACTGTTGTGTTTTCTGATTGGTCACATTATCCTTTACCCCCTTGTTCACATGGACATGCTACTTCTCTTGATTAAAAAAAGAAAAAAAAAAGTAAAAAGCCAGTTTATGTGTAATTTAACATCTGGAAATGGTATCTGCATACCAGATGGCTCATGCTGAGCAGAAGCCTTTTGGAGACCATTCAAAACACGTAAATAGGCCAAAGAAAAGAACACAAGCATCTCCAGTGTCATTAGTTCCTCATCTAGTTTTCTGCATTTGTACTTTCAGGCATTGCTAGGTTACTTTTCTATAAAGTTTTTTAAAATATCCGAGCACAATCTTCCGATTCAACAACTTAAGGCAGGTAGGGTCATTTACCCTGTCAAAATCTGTGACATCTCCTTCTAGTGTGTACTTTCACATCAGAAATAGACTGATGACAGTCATATGTTTGCCATCTCAGAATGATTATTTTGATACACACTGAATTACCTGTCTTGTAAAGAAGTACTCCTGTCTTGTCTCTTTCTTCTTTCCAAATCAATGACCACTGGTAGCAGAAGTCTTCCTTAGGAGGTGGTTGTGTACCAGGAAACTCAGAATCATTTCACATATATTGAACTTTAGAAGCTTGAGACAGTTTTATTCCTGTACCTTATGAATTTAAGGACACAGATCTACTTACAATAACCATCTTTTCTGTCTAGAATAATCTAATTTTGGTAGGGACATGGCATTTGCATTTTGAAGTGTGTAGTAACAGCTCCATGCACACGCTGCAGCGATCATGTTCTACTACCAGCATGTCTGAGAATGTCAGCTTGCCAGCTGAGAGCAGTTTTAGTATCATCATGTTACATTGCACATAAAGTACAATTTCATGTGTTAATTTATAGAGTAGTACTTCTTAGAAGTATTAAATTAAAGAACATTTAACTCAGAATTTAAAAGAATTCAAGGCTACCTGATATAGCATTTCCACAGTGATTTTGTTTGCTTTCAAGCCAAAATTAGGTTAAGCTTCAAATTTTTGTAAAGTACTCCTCTTTTCCCCAATTGTGCTTGTCTCTTTCCTTGCACAGGGTTGAGAAATACTGTTAATGGTTGGGTTGGGCAAACAAAGTCTTTCTGTGTAGAAGAGCCCGAAGGTTTTACCTTTTTTGTCTGAGAAATGATGGACCTTAAATAGCTGAATTTGTAATCACAGTGATTACATCTAGAATTAATTTTGACTGCTGGGAAAATAAAATGAAAGCAAATTTAAATCACTCTCACAGGTTTTAGATTTCTTGTTTTCCCGTAAAGGATTGTTGTTGTATTCTCATGGAGTGAATAAGATCTCTTATGTGTTTGGAAACTCCCAAATGTCCCTAGGTTAATGTTCTAGATACAGCAATACTAGAGGCTCAGAAATCTGTGTTATGTATGAAACTGGCTGTCCTCTTCCTGTTCAGTCTGTTTGGGAGTCACATTTAGTACATAAAATAATGCTTTTTAAAGCTAGGTGTTACTGGGAGGCAAGTGGAAGGAGCAGGAGGAGTAGCAGGGGTTGACTGTGGTTTGTGTGCTTAGTTAAGTAGTTTCTGTTTAAAGTCTTGCAGCAGTTGACACAAGCAGGAGTCACCAGCTATTTCAGCCCTTGCTGTTAGTGGAGGTTAGCACAAGTTTCTGTGATGTTATGCAGCCCTTCATTCCCTGCCTCTGACCTTGCTGCCTGCCAGCCTGGGAGCGAGGCCCTGCCACTTCCCTCCGGTGCTCCTCGGGAAGCCACAGCGTTACACCCAGGGCTGAATTTGCTGTCAGGGCAGGACTGAGAATTATTGAACAATTCCTGTTTCAATTAGAGAGATTGAAGGTCCTTTTGCTGTTATTTTTTGTTTGCTAAATAGTAGTTTCATTTATTATCTGAGTGATTCATCTCTGCTTATTCATCCAGCCAGAAGATCAACAGTCACTAACAATTCTGGTCTGCCTGCCTGTTTGCACCAGTGCTGTCAAAACTGCTCATGCTTTGGTAAAGGAAAATGTTGCATGCAATCCAAAAGACTCAGAGCCTTCTCCATTTTGTGTTTATTGCTAAGTGCATAAAGTAAAATAAAGGTATGTCAGTGGAGAGTCTTCACTGTGACACTCACCTGAGCCTGAGGAGTTGGTGACACCCATTGGAAATGCAGCAGAGATTGGTTTCACACAGCATTTTATTTGGCTGCTTCCTACTCAGTATGAGCTACACTTAATTATTGGATCTGGATCCAAATAATGCAGGAGGCCTTGGCATTACCAGCTCTTAAATGGGACAGGCTGCACAATGAGGTGATGGATAGATGTCCCTTGACAGGAGCAGAGCTAAAGCAGTGGGGTTCCCAAACTGGCTGTAATTTCACACTGGGCCGTTGGCAGATGGAGAGGGATAGTAAGAATTACAAACTCAATTGTGCTTGAAAAGATTCCTCTGTGACTACTCCTCCAAAAGTTACAGCCTTGTTGAAAGTTTATCTTCTGTCTCTGAAGTAGATAAGAGGTAATATCAGTTGACCGGATGCTTTCATTTGGAATGCTTTTCCTGTGCTTAATTCATTGCTGCTTCTGAGTTCTCCAGAAAGTGATAATGAAATTATCAATGGCTGCTGAAAATGGTTTCAATAAAAAAGGAGGGGAAATGAGGCTTGAAAAATACTGGTTTTATTGTATGCAAATGTGATTAATGCAACATAATCTGATTGGAATATAGCTTGTGTCCTGGAAACATTGCCA